GGTGATGGAATAATTTGGAAAAGGATAGTGAGAATAGCAGCACAACTGGAAGAATGTAATCGATGTCACCAAATTGTACATGTAGAAACTTTTGAAATGGTGAAACTTTGGCTATGTATATTTTCACCAAAAAAAAACAAAAGGTCCTTCCAGGTCAAGAAAGGACAGTGTTGACATGTTACGGGGTTGTTAACCAATGTCATAAAACAATATGTGTACTGACTGTTTAATGAGAAACTATTTGTTCTATAAACATTCATCCAAAGTACAATAAAAAAAAAAATTAAAAAACCTTCAATTTCTTCATCTTTGGCATTAGTGATTGTTGTATAAATTTGTATAATAGTATTAACTGGTCTTCCTTGCAGGTATATGGACATTATCTTTTCAATGACAGCGTTATACTTCAGGATAGATCGTTTGTTGACAGTGAATATAACTCCATTTCTCTTAAATTTGTCATTCCCAGCATAGTAGACTACGTATTGTCTGATTCAAAATGGCCAACACCAGTCCACTTCAGCTCACTAATGCCTAGGATATCGAAATTCAAGTGTTCATTTCATTTTTGACGACTTCCAATTTTTCTAGCGTCATACTTCGTACATTCCATGTTCTGATTATTAATGGATATTTCCAGCTGTTTCTTCTCATTTTGAGTCATGCCACATCATCAAATGAAAGTCCCGAAAGCTTTACCCCATCCACATCATTAAGGCTGACTCTACTTTGAGGAGGCAGCTCTTCCCCAGTTGTCTTTTGAGTGCCTTCCAACCTGAGGGGTCATGTTCTGGCACTATATCAGACAATGTTCTGCTGCTATTCATAAGGTTTTCACTGCTCAACTTTTTTAGAAGTAGACCACCAGGTCTTTATTCCTAGTCTGTCTTAGTCTGGAAGCTCCACTGAAACCTGTCCACCATGGATGACCCTACTGGTGTTTGAAATGTCAGTGGCATAGCTTCCAGCATCACAGCAACACATAAGCCACCACAGACAGGTCATCTCAGTGTGGGGGCAAGTTTTTAGCTGTCACAGAGCTCAGCCCTTTGCCCCATCATGTGGCTGCACTTCAGCAACTTGGATGAAGACAAAGTTGTCATGCTTAATCCCAGATGCCAAAGTTGCTAGGGATAGCTAATGTGTTGGATAACAGATAATACTCACAAAGGTTCCGACAACTTTTGAAATAGTGGTGATGGTTATACAAATATGGTAAACATATTCCAAAAAAAAAAACAAAACAAAACCTGTTGTGTCAAGTTGATTCAGATTCACAGGAACCCTACAGGATAGGATAGAACTGCCCCATTGGGTTTCCAAGACTGCAATCTTCACAGAAATAAGACTGACACATCTTTCTCCTGTGGAGTGGCTGGTGGGTTTGAACCACTGATCTTTCAGTTAACAGCTGCGCACTTAACTATAGTGCCACCAGGGCTCCTTGGTGAATGTATTAATGTCACTGAATTGTACACTTAAAAATTGTTAAAATGGCAAATTTTTTTGCTACATATATTTACAATAAGACTATTTAAAAAAAAATAAGTTCCTGACAATCTGTAATGATGGATCAAATACATTGCTGAGAAAAAGACCTAGAGGGTTCTGCTTACTACAAACTCAGGACATACCGACAGTGTGCCATGACCACAGCAAGCCCTAAAACTGCGTTAGGGAAGAAAACAGAATGGCAGAATAACCAGGGGTAGGATGACCCGTCTGGATAAATTTTCTATTCCCAGAAATATAAGATAGCAGGAGTGAGGAGATGGCAGATTTTTCACTGGGCCCACATATGGGAACTCACAACACAGATTTCAAGAAAGCAGCCCCAATTTGTTTACAGAGCTGGTCCAGTTCTTTGTCAGACTCATGTTCTGGGGTCTTTGTGATTGCAGTTACTCACGATTAGTTTAATTGTGTAAAGCCTGTCTATTCCCTAGAATGAGTAGCAGTACAATTCTTAAAAAGAAAAAGGGTCTGTGATCTTAGAAGAGGCCAGAAGAAGCATGGTGTACTGCAATGATTCTCAACCTCAAATGCTTTTGCTGACTGTATTCCTGACACAGCAAGACATACCACCAAAAGATGTTTTGAAAAGATTCACGAAGTACGCCAGTATTTCCTACACACAACTGGAACTTCAAAACATGTTCATGAAACAAATGAAGATTGAATGAATGAATGAATGAGTTTAGCCTAACCATCTGTATTAGTATGTACGGACCAAGCCTCCCATTTCTCTTTCAGGAACGATAAGATGTGATCATTTTCAAGAAATTGTATGTAAATCCTATTTCCTACAGTACCTGTGTGACACAGTACAGTACCATATTCAAATGACTTGCTAAGGGTCATAATCTAGTTGAAAAAAATTCCACATCCACAATTCCACCTCCTTAAAAAGGGACTGCACAAAAACCCTAATGGTAGTAAATTACCTAGCCACAGAAAGTGTGGTGAGGCCATGTTAGCATCATTTAGCCAAACTTCCAAACTAAGATCAGTAATACATCTCTTAATAAACAATAACTTTAACAAGAGTAGTATAATTTTTTACAAGGTTAAAAACCACCACTACCACCACCAGACACATAAGAGCCAATTACCTTGGCTTTTTTGAGCAGGTCAACTATATCCAGGTTCATGGAGGCCAGTTCCCGGCTTGGCATGCTCTGCAGCTGTGTGATGATGAAAAGCTCACACATGTGCTGCAGCCTGGACACTTGGTACATCTCAGCACAGATCAGGAGACACATGGCCTGGAAAATGCCGGCTGATGAAGAAGGGAAATAAGAGAAAATAGGCAATAAAACCATTTCTTTTATGACCTAAAACATATATATATATATATACATATATATATATATATATATGTATATATAGACCCATTGCCGTCGAGTCGATTCTGACTCATAGCAACCCTATAGGACAGAGTAGAACTGTCCCATAGGGTTTCCAAGGAGTGGCTGGTGGATTCGAACTGCCGATCTTTTGGTTAGCAGCTGAGCTCTTAACCACTGCGCCACCACGGCTCCGTGTATATATATATATGTATATGTATATATACGCTGACTATATCATCAAATGTAGAATAAAAAGCTTTGATGGAGCCAGCATTCTAAACTATCACTCCATTTTCAGAAAGAATCAATTTAAGCCTTTACACTAAGAAGTGAATCTATTTTTTTTTAATTCTCCAGAGAGGAAGACTCTATAATTGCCCTTAATAATCAATTTCAGGTCTCCTGAGTAAACCTTCCTGCTAGCTAACCTAAATCCTTCCAATTTTTCTTCTCCTGGCTTTAGTCTTCACATTTTTTTGTTTTGTTTTGTTTTTAACACTTCTTATAAGTCTGATTTTAAATGTAATTCTCTTTATCTCATCACACTTTAAGGTCCTTACATTCTTTTGTAGCTGTGGAACTGGGAACACTATGTATGGTAAATATTTAACATAATGAATAGATTAGCTTTCTTTCTGTGATCTCCCCATTGCATATGCTCCAGTGTCCAACTTAACTTTTTGATTATTTATTTTCACTCATCTTCCCCCACACCTTTAACCAATTTTTAAAGTGTTCTGTCCTATGATTATTGTTGTTTTTCTGAGCATTTTTTCAATTAGCAAGGTAAAATCCAAAATTAGCAGCTTCGATTACTGGGAATTTTTCAATTACTGGAAAAATTTCCCTATTATTTTAAATCTGGTCAAATTTTAAGTTTAATATACAAATTTTTCAGTCTCGAAATAATAAACAATAATACTTATTTCCAATAAGAATCAATTCTTTCATTTTTATTAAGCAAATCTGATAAGTAACAATTGTAACTGGTTCCAAAAACCTATAGCTAGCTCAAGACCAGAGATGACTCAATTAAAAAAGGAATTTTTGTTTTGGAACTTCTAAAGCCCTTCTTTCACTAGAGGGCTCATGACTTGCTTAAAACGAGATTTCACTAACAAACACAGAAAATCGTCCAAATCTAAAAATAAAGCAGTGAACCTGAAGAGAGATATGGTCTCAAATCAGTGTTTTCTTTTCATGTTTGCCGAGGTGCTTGACAGAGTTCTATAATCAAGGTCTCAGTCTCCTGGACTGGGCCACAAGTGGCTTGGTTCTAGCTGTGTTTGTGGTGGAGCCATCTGGTGGCCAAAGGAGAACGGGTAAACACTAATAAAAGAGGGCTGCCATGCCTGCATCCCAATGCTCCAGGACTGGTGAAAGGATTCTGCTATTTTTTCAGGTACCTCCAGCTAGAGGAAACATGCAAGATGTGCTCCATCTTGCAGGTACCACAGGCAGCTGCTTCCTGGTCAAAGATAGTCCTAGGTCACTGGATAGGGAAATAAATCCTATAGTCTGCTGGGCATTCTAACCATCTGAGGAAATGTTTTAGGAGAAGCCAAACTGAGCTGAGCTTTACAAAAAAAAATACTCTATATCCTCTGGGTCAGAGAGAAGACCAAGGGGGGTCTCAGAATATTTAAAGTCTTAAAAGTGCCTGAATCAGAAGTCGGTTCTATAAAACAATTGGCCACACTCCTGTCATGGAAGGGAGCTCTCTGCTCCAATCTGTAAGTTTAGGCTAACCACTGGGTAGCACAAGACACCTTCCATTTCCAGAGTACCTACAACAGTCACCATGCCATTGGTGCTGGCTAAAGTAAGTGAAATGATGCCAGAGTCTGAGAGCAACCAATCTGCTCTTCTACTTGAACTGACTGAAAATTCATTGTTGCACCAATACCATCACCAACTGCTTAGCACATTCCATGATATCAACTCTGATAAACTTTAAACAAAAACAGATTTCACCGAAAGCAATTTATCAAAACAGGTGAAAAGGAAAGAATGTACTGTGAGGTATTACTTAACACTTATATTGCTCACCTGGGCAACAGGAGTCTGTGTATAGGTACTCTAAAAATGACAGAAAAGTTTCTTTGGAAACACCATAAACCGGAATCAGAACACTCTTCGCTTCCATGTAATTACCATTAAACATGGCTGCCATCACTTCACAGCGGGCCACCAGGATGGCCCTGTGGGCTGGCACCGTTGTACCTACAAGATCCAAAAGGGAAACAAAGACAACAGGTAGCTAAGTAACATAAACATGCACAGTTATTATTCTACCAAGTTTCCTTCTGATTAGACATCAGGCATAATGGTTTTTAACTGGAAAATAAAGAGAGTTCAAAAGTTGACTCTGAAACCAACAATTTGCAAGTCAGCCAACTATTTGTTACTTAATTTATATTTCCTTAAAATAGATGCACTGAAATAAAATATTTTTGCTTCGTGTTTTTATAATGAAATATTTTTCCTTTCCAGTTGGCTTAAAATAACACCACCACCTCTGTCCATGTGCTTTCCAAGAAAACAACACCATCACCCTTCTTAGCCATACAGCATCATCCTGGCCCACCTCCCCTTACCAGAAACAGAAATCTAAGAAGCAAACCATCCTAGGCCTAAGAGGTCTGTAGATCACAGCAGGAACAACAAAGGAGTCTCTTGCAGAGCTATGGAGAGCATTTCAGAACTTATGGAAAACTCTGGATGACCTTAGCTCCCTTGCTGTCTCTCCAGCACACTACTCCCACCACCCAGGGGACCTCTCTTTCCTAAATAAGCCACACCTGCTTCTGGGAGAACCAGAGCTACTTTAAATGTAAAAGGCCCCCTCAGCCCACACTCCTCCCTGAAGTTCATTAAACTAAACCAACTTAAATCATGTTAAGCTCTCCAGCTACTACTACCATGCACAAACACAGTACCAGACCAGAACACATGTGGCCCACGGCTCACGGAGGCAGTTCTTACCACTCCAACCACCTTAGGAAACCATAAGCCCATATTGCCAGCCCTCAATTCAGTCTAGAACAATTCAAAAGATCAGTACTGAACAGCCACCATGGGCCAATTACCATGTTTGGTATTAAAGGTACAAAGATGAGGAAGGCAAACCTACCCCACTTTGGAGTAGCCAAGCTTTTAATGGGGTAGAAAACACTACAGTCAGTATGAGGGACAAAGCTGCCACCTTTCCAGAAAGCAACTCTATGAACCAAACCACTGTGCTCTAAGAGTCTTCACCGAGTCTTCACCCACACATCCCTAAAATATCATACTTATCAGGGAAACAAAATTCTTCTCTAAAATATTCACAATTGGGTTCTCCATCCCCTTTAAACCCAAGTAAAACATTTCCAGGCTTAAGAAGGAAGCAAAGACCAGTGGCTTTCTACAAAGCCAATAATCCCCCAGGATCCATAAGCAACATCTGACTTAGCCATTTCTGGGCCCACTGCTTAGCACTGTGATTAGTGCAACCACACCTCCCACTGAACAATCCCTCCAATCCCAGCTACTAGCAGGCATCCTTGCCACTTAGCTCTTTCCCCTCCATAACCGCACCCTCCCACCCCGCCACCAGCTTCTGGCTGCAGGTGAATACCCTTGATGTTACAGTGTCCATCTACGTAGGAGAACCGGTTTCCATAGTAAAAGCATACTGAATATCCCGGCACTTTTCTCTGTAACAGTTTGTATAAACTGATTAACAAAGAACTCAAACAGGTAATGCGATTTGATTTATAATTTTAAGGTTTTAAAATCCTAAATAGGTAAACATAAAAAAAGAAAAAAGAAGAAAGGAAAGGAAAATTACAAGTAGGGTTTAAACAAACTAAATAACCTATTATTTGGGATAAGCTAAGGGATTTAACATTGGCCAAAAATACCAAGTGGACAGTAGAGGTGGGTGGAATTTGAGACGTAACACTGATATTTTAACAGAAATTTTCAGTTGATTAATAAGGTTACAATAGTTACAAAATCAGCAACAAAACACTCAGTACCTTAAGGTATTTTCAAACCCATTTCAGGCTTAGAATTTAGTTTGAAAAACCATTATACTTCCAGTTCAGAGAGCATCAGCTTCTGTTTCTCACCTGTTTAAGCTACTGTTTTTGTGTTCTAAATTGTTCTACTGTGAAACCATAATACAATACCCCAGTACAGTCATGTTTTTAAACACTGTATATAAAAATATGCTAAATGAAAATAATGCAGTGTTTATATACCAACCAGCAGTAGGATACAGCTGAAGAGTTTCTTAGAAAGGAAAAGATAATTTCAAGGTTTTTTGTTTGTTTGGTATAATTAGGATAGATACTAGGTATCACAAGGTACCTCTACAATCTCCACAAAACATCAATTTTCTAGTTAAAAGATAAACATGTTCTTTGAAAATGTCAAGGCCCAAAGTATCTTTTCTTTCTTTCTTAATTTGTTGTTACAGTTTTAACAAACTTTTTACAAGAAAAAGAACTCTAAGAGTGAAACAAAATATAAAGCCTAAGTTTTCCAGTCATTTTTCATAAATTATTAAAGACCTCTGTTTTTACTGTGTCCTAAAATATCACCATTTGTCATACCTTCTTCACACTATATTCCAGCTTTCAAAAATAAAATTTTCAATTGTTTTTTGTTTTATTCTGAAAACTGGATACCTGTCTAGCTCAAGAGGGATGTAGAATATGTATTCAGAAGTAAACAGGGAAGGAATATAATTTTGTAAAAGTATTCTTCGTGAGACATAGACTCAAATGTCAGAGAGAAACTCATTTTTCTGTTATCAGGTCTAAATGTTTACCAAGGCTAATTTTAGAGCTGCTATTGTAGCTTCTTCTATTTATTGGAAAATGACACAAACTCAAACAAGTTGGAGGTGGTAGTAAATATATAGCTATATCTATATATATTTGATGAACATCTATTTCAGGGATATTAAATAGGTTTTAGGTCCTATGTCAACTCCAGCTAGTTATTGCTGACAGCCTAGAACACCGTAAAAGAAGGATTCAATTCCGTACCTGGGTTCAGTGAGAAAAAGCACAGTGATCAACTAGTGTTAGATGCCATTGCATGGGAGAGGGGAGTGGAGTCTACATTACATGCCTCTGCTAGTTCTTTATTCGCACCATTTCAATCCTTGTGACAACTCCACGAGGTAAAAATCAGTATCCCCATTTTACAGGTGAGGAACAAAGGATCAGAAACATAAAGTAACACAGCCAGACCTACACAGTAAATGCACGAAAGCAAAGATTCCAACCAGGTCTTTCTAACCCAAAGTCCATGTCACTACCACCTCATCTTGCTGGTGGATCAATGTTGCAGCTCTGGTCTAGACTGTTCCATAGAGGCTATTCTCAGTCAGGTTTCATTACACCTCTCATGAGGTTGAGTCATATTCACTCTAAAAATTGAAGTGAAGAAGCCAAAGAGTTATTACATATGATGTCAAATTTATTATTATCACATGAAGCGAAAACATTGTGTTTATATGGATAATTATTCAGTTTTTAAATTATCTTTCTCAGTACTTTATATAACTTTATATTAAGAACATCAAAGCTACATCCAAATGTGAATTATTTCAAAAACGTAAATCTTTAAAAATGTGTATTTTGCATTATAAATATTTTAGGTAAAGTGTGTAGAGAAGAAAATTGCAAGTTCATCTGAAAATTCCACTATAACTTAAAAAAAAATTATAATTAAGATTTGAGACAGGTTATTATTACCCAACCATTACTCTGAGGGTCTATCTTAAGTTCATTATAAATAAATTTAAAATATATCAATACTTTCCTTCCCCATCACAAAGTTAGAGATACATTCACACTTCAAACAGCTATTTAATTTACATCTATATATATACGTATGTATGTGTGTACATATATATATACACACACGTTAGTTAATTCTTCAGAGTGACACTGAAGGTTCGCTGCCTGTTAATATTTTAACTACAACTAAAACCCATAAGCCTAAATGGTGCCATGATAAGAGGTATTAATATGACCCAAAAAGCAAACTTCTATGCCAGGTACAGATTTTGAGAATGACAAAAACATAGAACAGTATATATGAGAGAATGCACTTTGACTTTGAATAGAGCTACAGCTAAGACTAAACCATTCTGAAAATCTATTTAACCTTTCCAGTAATGCTAACCAGATGTTTTAAGCACACTGTGCCCCAGTCTTCAAGTTAGAAAGGTCTGGGTGCACATGTCTGCTTCATCATCATTAGGTGACTAGTGCTGTGACACTGAACCAGTCACTTTACCTCTCTGGGTCTCTTCAACTGCTACAATAACACCACCAAAATACAGGGCTGTTTAGAGACTTGAACCTGACATGTACAATCTCTAGCAGAATTGCATTCACAGCATCAATGCTATTATGACTGTTATTATAAGAATGTCTCAAAACTAAAAAGTTCAATGGATCAGAACAGATCTGGCTTCTGATTTGAACAATGGGGGCTTCATGAATGTAGTTTAGAATATTAAAAGCATGCAGCCATACCAAATTTGCAAGAAAAATTGTGATTTAAGTATACTTAATGCTGGCAAAGGTATGGTGAAACAAGCACTCTCATACACTGCCAGCGGAAATGGGAATTGGTACCATGTTTCTGGATATATACAGTTTTAACAGCATTGTGGTGCAATTAATTACTTTTGTGTGTGGCCTTTCTAGCCATGGGCTTGTAACTCCCACCCAGGTGACTGTGTGATAGGGTAATTGTGGCTTACCAAGGGGATTGGTCAGTTTTGCCTTAAAAGACAGCCAATTCCAGAACAGGGAGGAAAAGTCCACCAGCACCAAAGGAGAGATCAACAAGAGAGACCCAGCAGCAAAGACCCCGCAGCAGGAGATGGCATGGTGGGCTTCCTGGCCCATGGCAAGAAAAAACTGAGTGCCTTTGGGAAGAGACTCAGGACCAGGGAGAGGCATGCCTGGGAGCACAGCTGGGGACAGGCTAACCTAATAGAACTGTATCCTGAGTGTTCTTGAGCCTGAATTGTTTAACTGTTAATTCCCTAATAAATCCCATAATTGTGAGTATGGTCTGTGAATTCTGTGTGGGCACTGCAACGAATTATTGAACCCAGTAGAGAGTGCTGTAGGAAGGACAGCTGGTGTCAGAAGTGGTAGAGACGGTAGAGAGAGGAGGCATGTCTGACATCTGCCTCTTAAGAATCA